CATGACGAAGAGGACAACCAAACCCCATGAAAACACTCAAGGTTCGTTTATATGATCTTCCTTCAAAGGTATTTTGACCATCGCCCATATAACCGTCAAGGAGTTGAGACTATGGCTCACTATGGCTCTCAGCATCGCTTCAATGGCCCCAACAAAATCAACAAAGGCTGATCTAGGAGCTTTCCCCAAATAGGGGGACCCCAATATAGACCCCAACAGACTATAATCCTTATAATGGGGACGCCCAATTTTGGGAAACCCCCATCTAAAGTCTTCAAGAGCAGAGTAATTGAGGTAGCCATCTGCAACAGGCGGCGAAGGCTTGACTTGAACGTCTGGAGGCGCAGTAGAAGCCTTTGGCGTTTTGCCCTCGATGCGGTCTCGGATTTTCTGAGCCTGTCCAGAGTTTCGGGCCAGAAGACCCCAGGAAGATATCAACACCCTAACAACAAAGTCTTGGACCCCGCAGCATCCGCGTCTGCAATGTTTGCTGGCAGCTCCTAGAGACCCGAAGTGATGCCCGTGAAAATGTTTTTTTTGCTGAGTTCATCTAATCCAAGTCCTGACTCAGGGCCCAAAGCTCAGCCTATGTCAAGGATGCAGAATCCATCCTGGAGTGTTGTTTCTTTGTGCTAAAAGGTCTTCCTGAAAACTGTGGGGATCGCAAGGGCTAAATGCCTGCCGTAATGCTGACGGTACTTCGGACGTTTCCAATGCTTATCGGATCAGCCATGTCCCGGACGGCAGCAGCAGCGGCAGCAGCAGCACCACACGTGCACAGGAAGCATAAACAAAGAAGACACTTCTTGACTGTTCTTCTACGCTGCTTCAAACCTACCTATCATCGACCTTAGCTATACCCTCCCTGCAGTCAGGGCTACCCTAGACCTGAAACGCTAGACCCACATAGATCCACAGGACCCCGTGAGACCTCGTGTACCATATACCCCCAAAACATACCATGGCAACTTTGGCTCTAGATATTCTAGATGCTCTAAAAGCCTTGCGTATAGGGTTTAGAACTTTGGGTTCACGATGGCTCCCGGTTTTGGTTTGCGGGTCCAGCGAATTTAGCTTGGTCCGTCAGGTTGAGCATCAAAATACATGAAGCCATAACCCTGAACGCGTTACGCATCTCAAATCCTTGATCCCAACCGCTGAAACGCGTTGATGCGTCCGATGCCAAAACATGAAGCACATCTGTGATCCCTGCTAGCTTGCGTTAAGTTGTGGTGGTTATGGTTGTGTCGGGCCTCATCGAATGAGCTGGTTACCATATCGGAGAGCCGCTTCAGGGCGTCGTGCATCTTCGCCCTAGCATGATAAGAAGTATGATGTAGGTCTGGGGTGACGCTGCAAGCTGCCTAGGCTGGGAAACCAATTCCACCCAGCAACACGGTCCTTGAATCCTAGCTTGATATTAAGCTATTAAATGAAAGGGTAAGTCATTAGCTGGTCATGACATGGCAACGGTTCAAGTACAAAAAAACTAACAATATCTAACGAGCGGAACGTGACTGCGGAATTGGCTTGGTAGCAGTGTGGGGAGGAATCCCCACGTTGACGCCTTCGCATGATAGCACTGAGCAAGGAGTCTTTGAGGTCATTCTAAAACTCTAGTTAACGTTGCAGTCATAGCTGCTGAAAGATGACCCAGAGCGCGATGGATCTGAAGAAAGCTGCTCCAGTCATCATGGTCATGGTAGATGCTGCAGCACCAGTTAAAGCTTTCGGGGTTGAAGGTTTTGGATGCCGGCTCCTGCAGTGGCGGCTTGAGTCAAGAGGGGGTGGAAGAAAACAGTTCTAGATAGCTGGAAGCACCATTTCATAATGTGCCTTAATGTTCTGTGCCTATGCTCATCATCATGCTTTCTGTGGGTCCCTGCCACGGTCTCTCAAGGTTTCTCGATGCAGGCCAGCTACTGCTCATGCATGATCATGATGGAGTCGATGGCCCTGGCGTTTCCCTTCAGCCGAAGCGCGCTGTGAAGGAACTCCTCCTGGGCTGCAGATTGGGTATGGATGCTGGGAATGCTGAAGCCTAGTGGCTCTAGTCCATGCTCGAGCAGCCATGGTGAATGCTCATAAGCCAGGCCGCGTAGGACACTTCTCCATCTCGATCATCATCCAGCAGGCTAAACAAGGTATAGGCTTCCTGCAGTCACGTTGGACACAAAGCGCTCTCGGTGGTAAGTAGGGTAGCGAGTGCAAGCTCGCATTGGATGCAGGCAGATCTTGCCTAGGAATCCCCCAAGCCCAGCTAGAGAGCTCCAGGTTGGATCAAGATCCAGTCATGGAAATTACCCCAAATGAGCTGCAGGATGAGCCATCCAAGCCGAAAAGCAGGATGCAGGTGCAGCCAGGCAGTATCACAAAAGCCGCAATATTTGCAAAACCTTTGCTATGTGCATAGCTTGATTCACATCTATCTGCGGCTAGCTAGCTGGCTGTGATGGGTTGTGAAATACTTTGGGTCCACCCCAGACGAGCGTAGAGCAACAAAAAGTCGAGTTCCAGACCTCTGCAAATCTCAATCAAATAGCCCGCGCACCCGTGAGACTTCAACCCGTACATACCCTCATCCTCCCAAAGAAGTGGATTGTATCCCAAAAGTAGTCCCTATAAAACCCATTACAGTAGTTTCCATTTTGTTCTCCATTCCTTCATTCCCTACACCCTAAACCCCATTAGGGTATATGTTGGTGTTATAGTCCCCCTTAAGTAGATAGAATATTCGGGGTTATATAGGGAAAACAAAATGGAAACTACAATTGCATGTTCTGCCCCAGGCACATGGATTTCCAGCTCCAACGCCTTGAGCCACGCTTCCACACCCGGCTCCTCACAAGGCCGATCGACTTAGGGTTTAGGGATGATCGTAGCTTCAAGCATCAGCATGCAGCAACTAACGCGCTCGGCGAAGATGGAAGTCGGACTTTGAGGGGTCGGCCATGGCGTGATGCAGAAACATCTCGTGTTTCACAAGACTGTTGCACTTATGTTTCCTGTGGTAGAAGGTGGATTTTGCACTTGTGCACTTTCATCCTTTGCATGGACATCCAGCTACATTAAATGCTCCGACTGCTACGCGAGCGATCTCTTTCCTGCACCCTACACCCCAATGTCCTGGTGGTTACCGTAGGGTTGAATAAGGGCATGATCACTATAATATACTGGTCCAAACCGTCGCTTGGAAGCTCTCATGGCTGGCAGTTGACCTACTCAAAAAAATCTTTTTAGTGCCTTGATCATGATCCCTATGAACAATATCTCTCGTAGTTTCCATTCTATTTTACATTATAGTAGTTTCCATTAGCCCCATACGACCCCTATAATGGGATCCCTATACTAACCACCAGCAAGCTCAAGCACTGCGGGAGCCTGCAGCGCTGCCTCCAGCTCCTCGTAGGAGAGCCGCCCGTCGCCTGATGCGTCGGCCTCAGGTTCAAAAGGGACTGATCGAAGGTACAGGGTCCAGAGTATAAAGCCTTAAGGTTGTTTCCGTCTCCTAGACTTCAAGTTATTTGTTTCATCAGGGTTCAGAATCTAAGGCTTTCTATTGGTTTGCACGTCCCGCATGGAGGTGGGGCATGCATGTTGAGCACATATGATGACAGCCCATATCACCCGCAGTGCTGTTTGCCAAGGCGTCTCCCATCAGGGGAAGTTCAAAAGTACCATGTGCCGTTGCTAACACGGATGTTCTTGGTGAAGGCCCCAAGTTCCCCAGTCTTTGAATATTGCAACTTTGCCCAATGCTTGTGCGACAACTTCTTTGGACTTGCCCAAAATTGCAAACTCCCGAGCGCAAAGAAAACCAAGCTGAGCGGCAGCGGTGAAGAATTGGTAGACCTGTCGGGTTGCCGCATGCAAACATGTGCGAAAATGTTTTGTGCAAAGAAGTACCTGGCCCAGACTAGCATTTCAGAGCCTAGCCTGCGGCATCCTGCGGCTAGTAAGACGTTGATTGCTTTGCTTGACACCTTTGCCATGCGCCCCTTAGCCCTGATATGCAGTTTAAAGCCATGCAGGCCTTCTGGCTGAAGGCTTCCTTCTCCTTCATTTTTCGGAGTACCTGGCATGGGTCTGGTGGCAAGTCTCCCTCCAGTGTTCTGCATGAAGGCAAGAATCTTGTCAATGGATGTTGTGCAGAAGGCTTCAGATTTTTGGGTGGTGCTCACTCAGCATTCTGCGGTGCTGCATCACTTTGGGATCCACACATTTCTGCCCCCATCAACTTTGTATTCACTAGCAGTCCAGAAAGATAACATGCAGTATGGGGCCCTCAACTACGTACGCTTCGAACGAGCATTTCTGGCCAGACTGGACCTCTCCCGCTCAAACTCACAGTGACAGCAAACAATCGACGGCCTCCGCCTCGCCATCCGAGTTGGCAGCGCGAATCCTCTGTGACGAAGTCTTTCTGAAACTCTTGAGATCGTTTTGAAGCTTTGCAAAACACATCTCCAACAAGAACGTCTGTTGCAAGACGCTTTGACATGGGAACACCGACGTTTCTGCACTGGCGCTTTACCTCGTGGAGCCAAGCTGCGTCTCGTTAAGGAACAAGGCGCCAATGACGCGCATCACGGCGAAACCAATGACCTGATAAACGCATTCCTCTTATCATGGGCTTTCGCTATGTTTGATGCAGCTATGCTAGGGCTTGGCTCTTCTCTGAAGCAGGACGAGGTGCGACTTGATACGCAATCCAGAAAACGCAAAACCTCAGTGCCACGTTTCTTTGCTGCGAGAGCTAGGGAAGTGGGAATCGGTTATGCTCTTCCTTGAACATCCCCGGAGCTGCTGAGCACCACATCAACATGTCATCATCGATCTCAACTAATCTGGATGGAGGCGTCGGCATCGGCATGAGAGAAAATCGATACTGTACAAGGGCTTGATCGACACCACAGCCTTTCTGGACCTAAAGCGCAGTCTTCTCCCGCAACATACTTTCTGGTGAGCACTCACGCTGCAGCTTCTGGTCTTGGAAGTTTGTGTTTTTGGATGTCCCGTAGAATTGCAACATTCCTTCCTGAAGCTCGAGAAGATTTTAGCCTCCAGCCCAGCGACTGTCTTTGCGTGATCTGCCCCTCTGTGCAGACACAACCCCGAAGCCTATCCTACCAATTCTTACCTCGCTCATGGTGTTCAGGACTTGCAGCTCAGGTGCCACTCGCTCACTTCATGGATCAAAGGCCGCGCCAACAAAGGCCTCAGAGGGGGATGCCTCTGACAGACCCATCCTCCCCCTGTGGCATTCAGCTCAGTACATGCGTGCTTGTGTAAGGAACCGCAGGGACCCCTTTCACGAGTCCAATTCAGTGGCAAATTGCAGGAATAAAAGCAGGAGGGGCAGTTTTGATGATCTACAATAAAAGAAGGGTGCCAATAGGAATACGATAAGTTACGATAAGAATGGTGAAGGCAAGGTAATTTCCAAATGTATAGTCTGTCAATGTTTTCCAAGCGGCCAGGAGCCCGAGAAGGTCGCCTCGAAAACGGAGTACGTGGCTTTCAGCGCGTTGCCGTAGTAGTTCTGGGAGCGCTTAATCTAAGGCTGTGGGGTTTGCTCAGGGCCGCCGTGCAACCTCTCGAAGTACTGGAAAGACACCCCAGGAGAACAAAAACGCCAGCTACCCTACATGTGTACTTGCCTTGGGCCGAGCTGATTCGCATCATTCGGGATGAAGCCAGTGAGGGCTGGGAGATAACATCCGGGGTCTGTCCCTATCAAGCTCCACCGTGTGCGTCCTGGAAATTCCAATCAACGACCGGCGTGACATGATCTAGTTCCAGACAATGACATCTGGCAGCTGAGGTGCGTAGACCCACATCCGGTGTTCTTCGTCTGCTGTAGTGTCGAGGACATGCTCAACAAGCAGCTGCGACATCAGGACACCCGTGCCAACCATGATGATCCCAAGTACCTTGGACATGACACCACCCAGCTCGTCACTCTCTCTTCCGGCGCTGGTGTACATGTCCACGCTGCAAAGCTGCTCTCAAAAGTTCAGACTTAAGTCATGCTTGCGCAAGTATGGAAGCTACTCACGTGGTGTGGTGTAATGAATGCCAACGTAGGGCGCCTTAAGATGCCATGCTCTCAACATGCGTCAACTAGGCTCGCGACCAACAGTGCCCACATCAAGGGGCTGAGGCATTTGGACTCGGCAGACAAGAATAAGGACATGTATGTCCGTGATCTCGTGGTCTCAACATGGTGGATTTCGTCTGTTTAATCATTGGAATACGACCTGCCATTCTGGGTGCTACTGGTAGGGATTTAGCACTGATCTTCTTGATGCAGGAAATCACAGGCAAGATTTATGTCTGAAATCGGGCTGCCGGGAACTTCCATTGAAGTCCAAAAACTTGAGACCGAAACCGAAACACAAACTTCCACAGAAACAAAACTGAGGAAATGGAGGACCACCGTACGAGCATGATTCCTCAAAAGTCTCACTTCCATGTTTCATGATCACACAGTTTCTCAAACAAACTCCTAAACCACTGGGGGAGCCCCAAGTTCGGATATGTAGACACAAGCTTCGCGGACGCTGAGGAGATGACGAGGACGTCTCCAAGCAGCCGGAGCCTGGTGAAGATTGCGTTACTCTTGTAGCTGCTTGCAGCTTTGCTGATATGATTGTTGTATTATCTGTACGCTTTCTGATGTTGTTCTGGTTGGTAAAAAATGGTCTTCTTGTGATGTTTGCGTGTGTCAAGTATATAGCTGCAGAAGCTGCTGCCGTTTCCAGCATGATAGCTGGAGCCGTCGTGGCCAATTAGCCGAGAACACTTGAATCATGAGTCATGAGCAGTTTTCATTTCACCCCTGCCACTTGCACACCCGCTTTGATAGCAAGATATGGTGAACAAGAGTCCGTGGAGGCCTCCAAGACATGCCCTTTCCTCCTACGAGGTCATCGCGTAGGTTTAGAATTTGGCATCAGCAAGATTGCAAGATAATGAAATTACCAAGCGACTGGACAAGGGCGAGGCACGTCTTCAACAAAAAGCTTTCCCGCTTCATACTCAGCATCCTCTCTGTCTCCGTCTCCTTCTCTTGTTCTTTGTTCTGTGAGCAACACTTGAATCCTTCGCTCGCTGGTCTTGTTGCACGAGGTATAGTATAGCGATGGGGATGCCCCCGATTTCCCGGTTCGGTTCTCATACAACCTTCCTCCCCCCTCAAACCGACTGCAAAGGGGTACCTTTTTGAAAGTCCTGATAAAAGGGATTATAGTGCAGCGCCATATCAAAGTATAATGTCATATTATGACACTTGCAAGTGCCAGTGCGACCCAGTAATTAGTATGTACGCATTTCTGAGAATGATCACGGGGTAGTCTGCTTGGCCAACTTCGGACTAGCAGCTGCTGCAGATTCTTGGCGAAGCGCATGACTCGAAGAACCCTGCCATGCGATGGATTCATCTCCAAAGCTTTGATGCACGCTAAGTTAGACTGGCTGCCTTGCTAGCCGAGTTTTAGTCATTGCCATGTTTACGCAACGCATTTCAAGAAAGCCGCACAAATGATTGCTAACAAATTTGCAGCTCAACTTCGTTCAAGCTGCAAGTCTGAGAATTTTGTGTCTGCTACCGCTGAATGTGAGGGCTTCCTTCTTGTTGAAGGCATCACCGTGCCTGAAGATTCGCATCAGGCGGAAGATGCGAGTCAGTCGCCCGACGGCGAAGTTTTGCGCATAGCCAGCGTCAAAGGGCTGCCTGAGTCTCTCCAGCGGATTGATTCGGGTTGGCACAGGAAACGCTACTTGCTCATGGAAGCTACTGGCGCTCCTGACGAGTGTTACGGAATCCCATGGCCAGATCTCAGCGAGCAAGCGCAAAGCCTGGTTACAGCCCTTCTTTGCTCCATGCTCATGATACCTACGCTGTTGGAATCAGCTCGTTGGCTGCACACTTTGAGGACATAGAACCATGGCACACCTGCCTGTACTGCAGTAGCAGTCGCCATAGCTACAACAAGCGCCTCAAGAAGCAGCCTACAAGCTGGCTTCTACACAAAAGGCCCCCAAAGGCCTGAGTTTCGGTGAGCACAAGATGTTTTTTTCAGTCATTTCGCTGATTCTGTTGATGTTCTGCTACACATTGACCAACAAAGATCCTGACTCATGGTTCTAATGCTGGGGTAGGCTTCGCCAGCCGTACGCTTAACCGAATCAAAGAGGCTTTCGCTTTACACCCATAATTTGAAGCTGCCATGTAACGAGCGAACCGCCAAGTCACCATGAGACTTTCATGTAGAGTCACATCAGCTCAGTTTCTCATAAGGCAGGCAGGTCACAGCACGTAGACATCGATACTCGTGGCAATGACGACGAGCACGTCGAACACACCAAATATGTCACAAAGAAATTGAAGCTTGTGCGTGTACAGGCGCCACGCAATCTCCAGCACGAAGATCTCAGCGGCCAAAAGCTGGCATGACACGTGAGAACTGAACCAAAAAAAAGTCGGAATATCACCACGAGACAGAGAAGCACTAATCCCTACTCCAACCCCCAAAGAGAGAGAGACTGGTCCAATTTTGCCGAGTTGCCGCTGCAAACTTACACGATTTTGCGCAAGCTATGTCACATAACGTCTGTCAGAGAGGGCTGTTCGGTCTACTTGAGGTCTCTCCAAGTCCCATGGGACCAGCTGTACTGGCTTACTCGAGTCGTAGCTCGCCAAATGGATAAGGTTCTCCAATGAATCAGGTCTGGCGGCCGCGTTGAACACGTGATCAACTATAAAGAAGGCCATCTCCTTAGTAGAATGGCACATGAATCTGATGAAGTATAGCAATGCGCGCGAAAGTCCATTTGATACAGGTGTAGGCTCCTGTTGGCTGCAAACACTTGCAAGAACAGCTTTAGGGTTGGAGTGGAGGGCACACGTCGAAGACAACTGCTGCAATGTGAGCCCACCGAGCCAACATGGTATGGGAGAGGCCTAAGGCCCTTTCCCCTGCCTCCGCCCTAAGCCTATCAACACATGCATGCCCCCCTAAACCCAAACGAATCTGGAGTTGCTGAAGGGCAGCCGGGCATCTGCGCCAGGCCAAGACTCTGAGTCTGGCGCTTGGAGGCCCAGGATTACGGCGGCCTGCCCAGAACAAGGGAGGCACGTGAGACGGGGAAGGAGTACTTCTGGGCATGTCTTTGTAAAGAAAGATGCAAAGTGTCGGGGCATGGCCGGTGCCTGGGAACCTCTCCACTGAGTCTGGAGGAGAAGGATGAAGGTATAGAGGACCTGCCGGAAAGCTCTGAAGTCATTTGGTATGTCGCGCAGCTAAGGCTCCTAATATGATTCGAGTCACTTTACGTTTGGCAAGCCTGTCACAACTTACGTCGGTGCAAGCTGCAGTATTACTGTGCCGGCATGAGGTTCAGCTGCAGCCTCACAGCCATGCATCAGTTTCCTTCTAATTATTTGGCTGGATAGCCCTCATTTCGGGTAACCGCTAGGCTTCCTTTGAAGGAATTTCATGCAGTGTGTACATGCTTAGCAAAGCCACTGCTTGCCCTCCGGTGACGCATCACATCGAAAGCCGAGAGGCTACCAAAAAACTAACCACGGAGTCCACCACCTCACTGATCGGCAAGTGTGCCGCAGGCGCAAGAGGGTTGGCAAGTTTCCGAAAATCAACTCACTGGTGAAGGTGTCGGCAGAGCATGGGGGCCCTAACACTCCTAGACGGCTTATGCAAGCAGTGATGTGGTTTCAGGTCAGTATTGAAAGCACAAATCACCAGACCTTACACGTCCTGCACATGCGCACATGCGCTCTGCTGTATGCAGCAGTAAACTATTTAGCGGCACCCAGAATTCCCTGCCATGCACCTGCGGCCTCTGCTCACACCCCATGGCTCAAGCATGGTCATGTGCGGTTGTACTTGCAGGGATGGCGCAAGCACCATATCAGTTCTGGTGCTGCCGAAGTGACCGACTCTTTGAAGTCGATTTCGACCCGGGTGACCAGCCTGCTGTAGGTGTTGCCCAGAGCCTGAGATGGCAGGCCGAGGTAGCAGCCGTAACTCTTCTGTCATCTCGGGGATGCAGCTGGCAGGTATTGAGCTTCAAGTTGACATACTTTGGATCCCCGCGCCTTGCTTAGGCTGCTTAGACTTAAACATGCAGCTTGCTTGCCAACTGGGGTTTGCCAACAGCCCCGCAACTCAGGCCTGGCTCCTATGGCTTTCTTGCGCAAGATCCAAAAGCAAGCATCAAGAGGATGGATGGGCATGGATGAGGTGAGGGAAGCTCTGAAGGACATTCAGCGCGATACTTGGCGAACTACAAGCTGGCTAGAGCCTTCTGCAGCGAACAAATGCAATCCCAGGTGCAGGATCCATTTTTTCCTGCAACCAAGCCACAGCGGGGTGCAAGCGCCAAACGACAAGAAGTATGACAAGGCAACAATTATATTAAAGCAAAACCGATGACTCAAGCAATAGCTGGAAACAGAATTGCTCTCAGCCTTTCATGACAATGATTCGTCAAATCTGCGGTGACTGCTCATGTTGGAAGGTCTCACATGATGTCCCTTGGTCGGCCTTCTTGTCCTTTTCCTGAGCCTCCTGCCATGCCTGTGCTAGAGCTTGCTGAGACGGTCTCTGACTGCGGATGAGGCTCTAGATACTGTGAGAAAAGCTACGCATGATATACGGATGGCACATAGACTTCTTCTTGACAGATAGAGACAGCAAAGACCATCTGTTCCATTTGCCTCAAGACAAGTCTGGGCAGCATGTTGAAGCACAGCATCTCAACCTTAAACGCTCGCACCTTTTCCATCCTTGATGGGCGTCGGTTCTCGCCAGACACCTGAAGGCCAGGGGGATCTGCTGGATCGACCCGAAACCTGTCTGTAGACCTTACTGATTTTGTATTCTCAAGTCCCACGGAAAACTACGACAAAAAGTCCTCAGACTGACGTCTTAGATTTCGTAACGGCTTCCATCCCCCTGTATAATCTTGTTACGCTGCCAACCCGCCTAGAATGGCATCTAGGAATGCTAGCGAGAGATATTGCACACTGAAGATCCTCGGAGAACCAGACGAAACCAGCCGGAAAGGGCAATCCTTGAGCGTTTGGGGAATGTCCTGCATCCCATCCAGCCTCCCGGCTTTCCGTGGATGCGGTACCCAGGCTGGATGTGTCTGCCAGCAAACGGCAATGAATCCGGCAATGGCTGAAGGGGTTGTGAAGCTGCCATAGTCGGACTCTCATATTCTGCGTGTTGCTTGGGACCTAGCTGAAGGCGGCCATAGGAGTTACCACTTAGGAAGTACTGTTTTTTCAGATGGCGGCCTGGCAAATGGAAAGTGACAGAACCCCTGACAACCGCGCAAGCCTAAGCGGCGGCCCTCAGGATCTTTTTAAGCGGATATTGAAAGCCCAACGCAGCAAGACAGCAAAGAAAAGGGGCCTGAAGAGTTGCTTCTTCTGGACGTAGAGTTCGGCACTGGCGGGGGCTCATTCATCCCTGGCGGCTCGGCTTGTGGCTTCCGGAGCAGTGAGGCAATGAGCACCGTGTGTTTGGTCTAGAGTCTGGAAGGTGGATGTTCCGGCATAACGCAAGGTGCGGGATGGCGGGGAGGAATCAGCACCCAGTTGCTAGGACTCGATCCTCTGACACCTGGGCTATGCATGCCCCGTTCATTTGCTGTGCTCGCAGGAATTCACAAACCTTGCTGTAACAAGCTCCATTGCAGAGGTTGGTGCAACCCACGACATACTCAGGCCTGATGGTACCACTAGCTTTGCATCAGGAGGTGGCGCAAAAGCCAAACCTTGGTCTGGGCGCATTCTTGCTGGATGCTTTTCCCCTGAAGCAGTAGGCACCAACTGCAAACTTCAGGATCAATTCCCTCCTCCAATGCGAGTTTCCCAAGCTGAATGCAGGCTAGGACTTCGGTAGCTTGTTGGGACATCCAGAGGCCATCTAGTCAGACACGGTGCCAGCCATTCGGAGATCGCTGTGAGCCGTGCTAAACTTCCTCACACGCGCTGTTTGGTAAGCAAATCTATCAAGTCTAGGTTTAGCTCACGAGTTGGCTATGTGGTAGAGAACGGACAAACGATACCGCCCTTGGGTGTGTAGGGAACTGCATGATACTTGCGTCAAGGTACCGTGTAGGAAACATGTCTAGGTCTATCCATCTACTCATCTGGAATGACGGACACTGGAAAACGGGACTTGGGCCAGCAAGGAGGCCTGGTTTTTGAAAGCATAGCAGCATTTTTGCTCAGCCATACGAGCGTGTCTCATCTTACGGAAGGCTAAGCGCCCCACAAAACCTACGTAGTATCGTCCCACTTGCGGCTGTGACTTGACGGGGTGCAGAGGCTGAGGAGTCTTATCAAAGTCTCCGTGGACTCTAAATCCCAAGTGAAAGATTCGGGTTTTAGAATCCTTCGCTTAATTTGACCCAACCCATGAAGCTTGGCCTTTGCATGCCCAAGTCCTGGGCTCAAGTCCTTCAGGCAACTAAATACAAAAGCCAATGAGAATCACCAAATATGAAATCACCGGCTCTGTCATGAAAGGAACTAAAGAATGGCCAATTGCAAGAACATCGAACCTGAAAAATGGAGACTGTGATTATTCTAGGATCCAACCCTTAATAGTAGATGCCCTTAACATAACACCATTGTTTACTAGAGACAAGCTTTATCACCAGCGGAAATGCCAAACACTCCGTTTCCGAGGATCCATGCTCAAGAATTTGGAAGCTCTCAACTCTCTTTGATTCAGCACCTACAGTATCAGTCATCAGGCAAGATGCGCTGTGAGCGCTTCCATCGCACCTGAGCTGATGTCATGCTCTCAAAGCTACATGGCCCCCTGTTTGGGAATAACGGAAGGTCTTCACGGGGAGCCTGAAAGGCGTACAAGCAGGAGGGATTATACAGCATCATACAGAAAGTATCGAGATTTCATAAGACAACTGGGCATAATGCATGATGCCATGATTCTGAGGGCGCCAAGCCAGGGAGTGCCAGCAGCGATGACCAGCCAGTCATGATCACATGGAATGTGGGAAGCGGGAGATGATTCGGCTGACCCGCACATGCTGGGACTTTCAGCCAAGTGATAATCAGGATTTAGGGCCTTAGAGGTTTCGAGGATAGATAGCATGAATTCACGGCAGTCATTCCCTTCTTTGGTTTGAAGGCTGTTTGTGGAAGTTTGTTATTGATTTTCGTATCTAGCTTCTGACATTGAGATGGAACAGCAGGACTGCAACTCGACCATGTGCAATGACGAAACATTCCAGAAGATGACCACGTGTAAAGCTGAACCAACTTTCTCTTGGTCACGACAGTCCTAGCAACAGCAGTACAATCTCTGCAAAAATGATGGAAGCTCTGCCGCGGTGCTCTGTTGGCTCTTCGCTTGCTTCTCCAAGACCTTGTCCAAGTGCTGGCAGATGGCGATATTCTGCCTTGCCAGCTCCTGAGGGAATGTAATTATAGTAATACTAGTAATTTAGTAGTTCTAGTAGTAAGAATAGTAGTCGCAGCAGTAATAGTAGTAGAAACAGTAATAGTAGTAAAAACAATAAGAATCTGCGCTGTGCAGAGGTCACGAAGCTCAACAGGTCATCGGGGTTGCCACAGGTGATATCAGGACATGTGGCCATGCTAGCTGATACTGTGGCCGCTACTTAGGAATGTCCCGGCAACTCAGTACGCTCCTCTGCCAACCATGTTCGCAGGGATTGCGACTCGTCCTCAAGCGGCGCAGAGGATAATCACAAAATGTGCTGAAACACGCGCACATCACCCTCATGTGCTACAGAGACGTCATTCTTCCAAGCATTCGATGCATTCCCTCCACTTAAGCCCCCCTTGCCAAAGTCCTGCGGAGACATGGCAGGCATAGGCCTCGGCTGGAACGCACAACAAGCGCTGTTATGTATCTCAGGTCGCGCAACAAGATCTCTCCAAGCTAGCATCTACCTTTGACTAGACTGCTACTGACACACATGCCGTCCGGCGTTGACCTGATCTGCCTTTCAACTGAGACTTTGCCTTGTTACCACAAAGGTGTCGCTTCTTCTGGAGAATTCTCATCATAACAGCCTTCCTAGCACTTTCCAGGTCCTGTAGAAGATATTCAGTCGCAGGTAATGCTCCAAGCTAGGGAAAAGAAAATCATTGTTTCAGGGCGGAGTTCGGACAGCGACGTCCACACCGGAGCGCTGCCAAAGGAACAAAAGATTGCAGTCAAATGCTGCAAAAGAGCTCCTTGTCCGGAATGCCTGGTATATCCGGCGCTGCAGTAGCCATGGAGGTATCCCCCGAGAATCACGAGCCCTCACCGGTTTACGTGATCCGTTAGCTTCTGGGTATGGTTGTTCTGTACGAATGTTGTCTTGAGTTTGTTGCTTGCCGCAAGCCTTGCTTTTAACGTGTACAGCTTAGCTTGCTAAGGGGTTGCTGCTTGTCGCCTGCGTGGCTGAAGAGAGGATGCTGTGGTCTTCTACTTGACGCACCTTTCGTTGGCTAATTGGTCTGGGCATGCGCGGCAAAAAAAGAGCTAGCGACCATCCTTGGGTGTGAAGCTGATGTTTGCCATCTTGCCTTCCACTGGCGGGATGTTATGGAACACTGTGAGCCACGGAGGCATCGGACGATCAGGCTCATCCATCATGGTGCAAGCTGGCTGATGAGCGGGCCATTGCGGGCCCAGACACTACGCCCTGCTCTTCAGGGATCTTCCAGGTATCGCTTTCCAACCAAGCGCGCGAAATCTCACTGTGACGCGGATATCTGAAACCACAACACAATTTGTTGAACAAGCCTTGTGCACAGCGGCTGAACAAGCTAACTTGGCAAGGAATGCAATCTGTCCCCCGTGAACTCAGCTACGATTACTGCTGAGCAGTTGTTCCTGCACCCGTTGGGCAGGCCATTACGGTTTAATGGACGCCTGCTTTCCAACCATTTTAGTGCGTTACGACGATGTAGGACGGGGTTTACCTTTTTAACAACCATGAGGACTGTTGCAAGTCTGGTTGTACTTTCTGAGTATCTTGATATTCATGCCATTCATGCCGGCAGCCTCCTCCTCAGCCCAATCCGGGGCCCCGCAGAAATTGGCCTGCTGAGTAAGACACGCTCGCAGCCGCAGGTCACGCCAAGATATGTCCTACAACATCACCGCTCAACTGGCACCTTAAACAAGCTCGTAATACTTATTTGTCTTCATCATGTGAATCTCAAGATTCTCAAGCTTTGCGGAAAGAACACTGGCCTGAAACAGATTGGTGGCCAACGACTCCTGGTCACTGTTGGTTGCACAAGATACTAAACATGAAGGTTGTGTCGCGAGCGAGAGCTGCCCAGAGGTTCCCTCAACACTCCAAGCTGTCAGGGCAGCTTGGGCGGGTTGGGCAGAGTAAGGTATCTGTGAGCGAGTTGGGGCTGAAAGCAATTAGCATCAGCCACTTGCCGTGCACATGCAAGAAAGGGCGGTCTCAAGCTGCGTTTTAGTGTCTTGACGGCCGAGCCCGGTCATACCTTCGAAGTTCACAAGATCATGCTCCTTGTAAGCTCAGGAGGTATCTGGCTTGGTGAATGAGGTGATGGTATCCGAGCCCTTTTAGTTTGTGAGCTGCCCAAGCTTCTCCTTCATCACCGAGTGGTAGCACGCCGTGTCCACCACGAACCGGAGGGGCGACATCCCAACCTGACGGCTAAGCCTTGAGAAATTGGGAGGCCAGCCCCACGTGATCCGTGATTTGTTGAGAGACTGACTACATCTCCATGTCCACGATGGACTGCCGTGGTCAAGGTATGGCAAAACTGGCTTGCATAATAAGCAACGCCCAGATTTGAAACATCTTACCGGACTGAGACCCCTTAACTTCCTTACAGCAAAAGCAGGAGCCTTGCGACACATGGTTCCCCCAAAGGATCCAAACATCCGCCTGCCCATCAAAACTGTGCCAATGACTTGGTCAGCCTCCAGTTCAACGGTGATGACTTTCGCGCTGGTGCTGGTTTCCAGCTGGCATCAGGGTGTGAGCTTCGAATGTCCAGCTTTTGGGGGTTAGGATGCCTACGCTAATAATGATGCTGACTTGTTGGAAGTATGACGTGGTGAGAATGGGCGGCCAAAGAAATGCCGCTGTAAGCCTGTTGGATTTCCCGATCTCGTAAAAAACATTGGTCGTACAATCCCGCATTTGCCAACATTGCTGATACCTTCGCCCAGCATGGCTGCAATGCGACTACTGAAATTCAATGAAAATCCTGGAGCCGAGGACGTCGTCAGCCAAGCACCGCACCTGAAATCCTGACAGTCAACCTCTCGAAGCAGCTAACTATGCCGGTCTCACCCCATAGTCGCTGACGGCACGTAGCCTTGAGCGGGGCTGAAACGTGCTTCAAATTGACTATGGAAACGCCAACGAATTGAATGCACAATGAGGCTCTCGGCGGTGTTGTCAGTGAGGGCTGGTCTTGTTGCTGGGGCAAACGTGCATGGAACTTGTACCAGGATTCTTACATGCCTGGATCCCTGAAGTTGCTCAGGATAGTATGAGTCCTGCATGCCGGACAACTTGAGGCTGTGCGGAACTGTGGGATCAGCGGCGGCTTGGAATTGAAACTTGAACTCTGACTGGCAACCCACTCAAAGAGGACCAGCGCACGACACAGCCTCCTGCTTTTCGGTGTAAGAATAAAGCCCGTCAGTGACTCGAATGCGTCTCCACCGAAGCTGTCAAGCATGCACATATAACATTTGACAACTGAGCTGCGGACAAGAAGATACGCGCATCCTTAGCAAACGTTCAAATGTAGAAGTGCGAGGATTGGCACGGAGCGACGCCTTCGTTCTGAGCCGCTGCACTACTTACACCTCTAGCTCATCACGCAAAGATGCAGGTTGGTGCCCGAATGCAAGCAATCAATGAGCCGTTCTGGTGAAGTTGCTAAATTGCGGCCAGGCAGCTGCTGGCTTGCTCGCCTGTAAAAGGAGCAACGATGATGAGTGTGGTAACGCTGACAATTTTTTCCCGCTTGATATTGGGAAAAGTCCGGTTGACATTCTTGTTCTGTCGCTCTTACTGGGACGTAAGCCATTGGCGGATTTGTTTTTTCTGGCTGGGCTTGGCTTCGATGCCTCTTCAGCCTCAAGGTTTCTGTTTACCAGACCTTCAAGCAAACAACCTCTCCAGATCAACAAAACATATCTACGTGCGAAAGCAAAGCTTCTGCCAAACGCTGCAAGCAGACAACGCCTCTCTTCTTCCTGGCACTTGCTTGTGGCTCCCGCGCTCCTTATAGCTCAGATGCCGTAGTCTTGTACCACGGCACAAAATGCATAACTAAAAATGCACAGGCAATCTCGCTGGAGGGACTTCGCAGGCGGCAAATGCTTTAGAACTAGTACTTACTTGAGCAAGGCTGCAAAGTATTTCCACGAGACTTGATGGGACTGTGCAAGTCAATCTGAGATAATTTGAGTTGCCTTCGGCAAGTCATCTGCAGGGGCTGGGCAAGACTACCCAGCGTTGGCTCTACCCATTAGGGGGAGCAAGTTGCCAGGGAAAAGTTGGACCGCCGTTTTGGTGTCTGCCTCATATACTCTGTCACAAGGACTTTGAGATCTAAGCATCCTTAACCAGAATGTGCAGTGGTTTAATGATGCGCATATCTATACTATACGTATGCATGCAGATACACAAACACACACTTGAGTTTGCATCCTGAATCCCCCCAAACACACACTCACACACATTAAGCTGGTTGGTGCTGGAGGCCTGTGAAGGGTGAATTCGTACGTTGCAGATCATGACACGTGACCGTTGAACAGGCTGTTCAATTCTCAAGACGTAATTGTGTCAAACAGGCGCAAGACTTTTTTTCTTGGCTTTACATCTGTTTGCTCGCGCTATTTTGCTTGTTAAGGTTGAAAGGCACGAATCTTACTCGTGGCTCATACCCAAGGTTACATCAGTCATTGTCGGCATAAACTGGCACTAGCCTCAACGTTGCTGTTGACTGTTAATCAGACATGATGGTGTCCCAAGAATCCTTGGCTGCCAAGCCAGAAAAAGGTGTGCCAATTGGATTGGTCTTCATAAACATTGGTATATACATATATATACAAGTGTATGTGTGTATGCTCTTAGAATCTAGACATGCCATGCATGATCTGAACCACTGTTATGCTACAGGCATCCCACATTTCCCCAGGACCGTTAACGGCTTGAACTTACATCTTCTCCAGCTGAGAACACAGCCCTCAGCTTCTTGCAAATGTTGCCGCCTACTAATGTGGACAGGCCCCTTTGGGGTGTCCTGCTTGACTGCGTCTCACTGTGAGTATTTACTACCACCCCGCTACCGCAACCTTTGGAGAATGTCAATTTAAAACAGTCATCAGGCCATTAAGTGACAAGCCTAAGGCTTCTCTTTGGCCAGCTCTCTCGCAGCACGGACAGCACTGCCCACTGCGGAGGGACGCCGCTCGTCGCGGACAAAGGCCCGGAAAATGTCCATGACCTTCCTTGGGCGGCTGCCAATGATCATGCATACTGTCCAAAGATACTGTTCAGAAGGACTTCCTGGATTTTTCAAAGGATCGTCAGTACAGAAGCCAATGATCTGTCAAAACCGATCCGCGGCTGTTCGGATCTTTGCCCCTGAAAATTTCGAATTATCTGGTTCGCCCAAAAATGGCACAACCCTAAGTTAAGTACCTCAAAGCTGTGCTTCCCAACTAGCCCGGAGATATCCCATCCCCAAATCTAGCTCGCGTGAAAGAAAAGCAATGACACAAACACTCACACTAAGAACCTTCAGCACTTCTTGTCTGATGCCAACACGAGCATAATGTCATTCCGGGCGGCTTTGCTGGAATGCCTGAGGTGGCCTCCTGGTAGCTGGATCAATTTCGCCCTCTGGGTATCGATTCGCTAGGTTGGGCTTCGGGTCCGCCCCTGCTATTGGAGCAATTCGAGCTTGGACAGCTGTCAACACGACACAGCATCATTAAAGTTGACCCTGCTAGCAAAAGCATCGGCAGCTGTATGTTGCAATGTGGGGGGAAGTGCCAGCAGCTCTCTGGAACAAGCAAGACCTGATTACAGTTAGGAAAAGAGAAAAGGGGGGAAATTCGGTACCGCATTATCAGCCTGCTGGAGACTAAGACTGCTACGCCTGCAGGCGACAGGAGCATCCATGCAACTTGCAACTTCCACCATTTTGCACTCCCTCTATCGCACCAAGCTACGTGTGCCTGAATTTAGTGCGACTGGCTTGATACAGAACATCGCTTCTTAAACGATCGTGATAGCACGTGACAGCGTTCCTGTATCATTCCTTGGAAAGGTTGGACTTGAGATGCTTCAACATGTCTTGCGAGATTGCAATTGCTTCATCCCAAAGTGTTGTCGAAAGAACGTCCTTGTACAATATTCCTCATAGCTTTGATGAACCATGAAGATAAGCAGACTCGAAAGTTGAAGACCAGGTGCCTTGAGGAAGTCACAGACCTCTGAAGTCTTTACTCCGAGGAAGGCTGCCGGGCTTTGTATCGCCACCTGGAGGCTTTGATTTCTGGAAAGGCACAAAGCAGGGGTGGCTCTGGAAACGTATACGAACCATTCTCGACACTCCTAGTATCCCCCTTCCTAGCCCCTACAGTAGTCCCCAAAACAATCCCCTTGAAGGAGTTTAGACTATGGCTCATCTGAGTTGCGAAGACACTGTGTAACCGGAGTAAACTTGCTCCCGCTATTTTTAAACATGCTCTCAAGTCATCAAACGCGCTATAGTCTAAACTCCTTCAAGGGGATTATATAGGGGACTACTATAAGTCTTTTAGGGGGATACTAGGAGTTTAGACGATGGCTCAAATGAATTCGGGCCCCGACAAGATGACTCTTCATATGATTCGGAAGCGATTCCGGCATTATGGGAAGATCTATATGGGATTCCAGGTGCAAAGAAGGACCATAGGAACCCCCCACCCTAAACCCTACACCCTGAACCTCTGGAAAGCCAGGTCTTCTTGGCCAAGTTTAAACTCCTCCTTGGCAGATTTGGAGAATCCGGCTAAGTAGTATGTTGTGTTACGCAGGCTGATAGTTGGGGCGCAACAGTATAGGGCATCTCAATTGCGACCCTTGAGAAAAAAGTACTCATGATCTTGGAACAGTTTATTGTACCACCTTACGTTCGGCCTCATGCAGGTACTGGCTTCCATGGTGCCAATCCTACCGTGCCTGCATGGCCGTCTCTGTGAAGCAATTCTCTGCCCAGGGATCTGATCCTGCAGCCACCAGCTCCTCGCAGGAGATCATTGCTGCCAGTTCCGGGTTCAGGTTGCTGATGAGAACTGGTATAGAGATTGTTCAGGCCCGTAATGATACAACAGCTGGGTTGTTGTTATCCAGGAGCCAAAAGTTGCCAAAAAATTGAGCTGTTCTTTTGAAGTAGACAGGCTATTTTTGCCAGCTCATATTTCAAGTTTGCGGCTGTCTTCCCGACGACGGTCACACCAGGCTATGCCCTTGTGCGCTGTGGCAGTTCCACCTAAACGCGTGTTGCCGCTGAGCTCTTACCGCCCAGATGGATAGGCTACCTTGTGCTCAAAGCACCCCCCTCAGCACCAGGTCCCAGCCATAATCCATTCAAATTCTATGGCTTGCCACTTCCAACAGCATTTGCTCGGAAAACGCCAAGATTGACACCTCTGGTTTCAGCTCTTGCCTGCCAAGAAGACACCAAGCACGCGCGACAAGCCGACACAGGTATCAAACTCGCACGAAGCAATTGCGGATCCAGCTGACATATCTAAAGCCACATTCTGCTCCGCGCAGGTGGGATAAAGTGGGGTCAGTGGACGGGCGATGCTTCAAACACTAAAACATTTGTGAGTCCATGGTGCTTACGCCATCTTAGATCTGGCGCCGGTATCTAACAAACCCAGCATTCTTATGGAGATCTTCTCCGCCGATACACGTCTGCTTCATGTCCAACATCGCTGTGCCGCAACTGGTGCTCTCGCTGCAAGGGTTGGGCGCCCATTGAAGGGCCTATTCTCGTTGCCTACCATTACTATGGCTATACTCATGAGAATTACGTGGGGATAACCATACATGCTTCTACATCAACAAATAGCAGGTCTGCACTCCTTGGCAGCCTCGAGGTGGCCAGCCAATCCCGCGTAATGCAAAGGGCGATCCTTCATGTCGTCCTAGAGGGTCGACAGTCCCGAGTCCCGGGGCACTTTGGCATGGGGCGGTCACAAATGGCGTAAGTCGCACAGAGAACAAGCACGTATCAAATGATAGGCTTCTGCTCCGTGCTTGCCAGAAAGTCAAAGTCCATAAGCTTAAGTCAACTTGCCGAAGCACAATGCGCTTGTCAACAAAGGTTCCTCACTTCTCCGTTTTACGTCATGTCAAATACCCGTCCATGACCGTAGGTTCATGTTCATTCCCAAATACAGGAAGAAAGGCTTACCTGGGGAGCATGGATTTCTTGCTGCATGGTCCTCGACATTAGGATCCATCTTCGCTTCTAACAGAGCCTTGGTGCCCATCCAGATTCAAAACTTGCTGTAACTTTGAGGAGACTTGGATATTTGGACCCCACGATGCCTCTAGATATCTCTAGATCTTCTACCTAGCAGCACGACACCTGCCATCCGGATTACGTAGCCAACGCTGTGACTCGTCATATTCGACAGGTTTCTCCTGTGCATAAATTCTACATCGGGAAGTGATGGCCACCATGCATCAGTAAGCCCGTATCTCAGCTTTCCCAGTCGGAAGTATGTTTCTCCGATCTGCCGAGCAACTGTCATCGCGGACCAGGAGCGGCAGGCAACAGCAATATGCAATGGCATCCTGTCCATGGATTCAGAGGGCTGAGCACTGTTGTGGCGGTGGATGCCTGATGGTCTTAGCGAGTTCCTCTCCGAAGATTATCTCAGCCCCGATGCATCGCTGCAAAGCATATCCTTCATGCAGTCTCCATTATACGCAAGTCACTGGTGTGGAGGCGCCGGCAGCAAAGCTCGCGATCAGGGGGTAAGGCTCTTTGTCGGACCTCCACATTAGACCCACCAGACTCCTCTTGCGCGAGTTCCACTGGTCTGGCCTTCAAAAACTATCAGGTCCCAACTATTAGGTTCCGGCCATTCAGTGTTTGGGTTGTTTTTTATTTCGACGGATTTCAAGGATTGTCTGACACGACAGACTGATTTCCCACAAGTGCTGGCCCAAATCCTAGGCCAATCCCAAAACCCCAACCGAGAACTCTTGACAACGGTCCGAAAACTCGAGCTACATGACAAAATTTGGAACTTGAGGCAGACGTTATTTCTCTGTCCTGCCAAGGTTATCCTTCATGATGTCGCTGGACAGCCGCAGGCCAGGCAGGCTGCAAATATCCTTGATGGCCTGCACATCGTTGTTCCTGCAAGAGTGTGGGCGTCTGGAGGGTGAGAGCAAGGCGTATTCTACGTGGATCTTGACAAGCTCCTACCGTCTCAGAAGCCGGAAGCTGCCTGAAGCGAAGTGATTGGATTGATTAGCGTTCATGAGAGGTTGAGAGATGCCTTTAGTTTTCATAGGCCCCACTCCGTCAAGCATGCCTCCTTTGCTAAGCAGCACAGGAGTCCTTTGAACCCCTATTTGAGAATGTCTGACCAGAATCTCTACACAATCTCTACTGCTGCATGGGGACCCCATCACCCCTTTTAGAGTTCCTCTAAAAATCATTTGAATCCATTTGAAGCGCCCGGGGTCCTGGCTGCTCTGCGTAGAACTGGGCCTGCAAGCCATTGGTGAAGGCCTCGAATTCCATCCCAGTTTCTATCATTCCCTAGGGCAAAACACCCCCACGGGTTGCCTTTGTGCTACCCTGGACCTTCATGCAATCGCTGAAGGCCAGCAGCCTAGCGTTCATTGCCATGCCCCCCAACCCCAAAACCTGCTTGCAGCCAGAGCTTCGGAGCATGCCTCGGAAGCCCTCATCCGTCCATTCCACAGTCTCCCCGCCCTCCTCCTCCTTGGTGGCATGCTCTTTGTTGCTTGGGGGCTCAGGACGTCTATGTGACCTGGACTTAGGGCTTATACTTTTTGTGCCCGCGGCCTGACCGGCCGGATTGATATGACTACGGTGACCCGTCATGCACTGTGCCAACAAGACGAAGGGCGTCCACGTCGGCCATAGACAGCAAGTTTTTCAGAAGTTTATAGATGACTTGTACATCGAAGTCGCCATGAACCCAGTTTCCACTGCGGAACGCCTGGCTGCAGGCCAGCACGCCGTCGCTGCTGGCAAAGAAGATGCCCTTGTCTGTGCCCACCTCGGAGATAAGTGGGCCCAGGCTCAAGCTTGTCTCGTCCTCTTGCAGCGCTTGACTCTTGGAAAGATGACAGATGATGCCTTCCACTTCCGTCTTCACTGACTTCCAGCAGATCTCAAGGTCTTCGTCATCATCATGCCCATTCATCCCGAGGATCTCCACGAAGAAAATCGTTGAGTCTGGCAGGTGCTGTGCCTCTGCAAACATCTCGATAGCTGACATGCGCTCGTGCCAGAGATGGCTTTGTGAGAAGGTGACTGCGTACTGCCTTGGTTGGAACCCTTTTGCGGATCCAGTGCTGGCTGGTTTGCAGCATGGATTAAAATGACAGAGCGCATGCTAGGACTGCAAGGCGGGATCCGGTGATGTGCAACAAGTTGGGAAAAAAAACAGTGCATGTGCTTTCCTTGCCAGTCTGTTAGATGAGCGGCGGCTTCTGAGGCCCATCGGACACGAGCTCCATGTAGGAGCACCCTCTATCCTCTGTAGCTTCCCTTACCCACTCCGCCACGTGCTCAATCCTAAGCTTGGCAGAAACCAACATAGCTTTTGTAAGCGGGTCTGCAGAGCCACAGCTGTATGCTGCAAAAAATGGTGGAACATTTGCCGGTTGGGATGCCAGGCGCCGCAAGTGCTCAAATTCCAGTGGCCCCTCGGTCTCCAAATCCAAGCCTCACAAATTGTGTGAGCTGTGGCCACAGGCTGGCTATCCCAATGCCTTTCAATACTTTTCAATTCCGGTATTGGACAGACTATCTGGTTCACATCCTTGTGAGTTTGAGGGTTTGCTTTCTGGGAGGCCCAGAACTGAGAAACACGAAGCAGCCTTACCCATGTGTCCTGTTCTGTCCTCTGCGGCTCTGGCATGCGCATCGACGTTACACTGGACAGCACAATATGAAGAGTCGCAGAAACGATCACACATGCACACGCCCCAAAAATCGCTCCGCACATGTGAACGAGCAGTCTACACATGCAAATTCAAAACAGTCCCCCGCTGCCGCTTTGTGCAGACAGGAAGCGATCGTAGAACCCGCAGCAGTCTTCGTTCTCCTCTGACCATGGGCAGCTGGCCTGTCATACTTGATGTTAGGACAGAATAATACCCAGGACGTATAAACGCTCACATAATCTGAGTTTCCATGTCGTTTTTAATGTTCTTTTCCAATTCATTCTGCATGCCTCGGAGGAAAGATCGAAAACCCTCAGTAGTAGATTCCATTCTCTGGTTCATTCCTGTATACTCCCCAAATAAACATAAGTATCCAAGATGCTGCACGGTTTTACCGGTCTTTGGTGCAAAGCTATGGTGTTAGCTAGGGGTCCCCATAGTAAGGTTTATACTTTTTTTTGGTGTTAGGGGTCTATATCGGAGACCCACCCATTTTGGGAAACTGTTTTGTCTGAAAATATGCCACACCTTGCTGTCATCCTAGTCAACAGCGAAAGGGCATCATACTACGTGGTTACCACCGATGATGTGTTTCCGCATCTGTGGACCATGGCTGCCTTTCTCACTGTCTTCATATGCCCATCCCTGCGGGCTGCTAGGCTGTGTGTCTGGGTGGAGATCCGCGCCTATGCTACGAGCTTAAAGAAAACCCAGAAATGCCAAGGGATAGGCTGCGCTTCTCCCGAAAGATTGCCCAAGGCACCTCGAGCTTCGCTGTAACCACACGGAGCTGATTCAAAGTCACACCGCGCAAGGCTGACTCGGGCACCTATCGACAAGTCTGGCTCTCTCTGTTGGAATTCCATCCCGTGCTTGGAATTTCAGACTGTAGCATCCCAAAGTGAAGCCTGCCGCAGGATGATGCCACCCATCTATGCCTAACACACGAGTATCCGGCCACGAATAGGAGCTGAGTGAAAGTACAAACCTTCCAGAACCGGAGCAGAGGGGCAGCAAGTGCACAATGGGCCTTTCAACAGCAGCTCGCAGGCTTGCACATCCGTGGTACATCCGTGTAGACATGTGCATCAAAACATGTACATGTGATGTGCTCGTTTTGGGATGTGTTTTGTGCGGAGATTCGAGGGCTTTTAAGTTGCTCGGACTTCAACAGCATATAACAGCATGACATACATGCGTGTCATTTGTGCCATGGCCTCCGTTGTTCACCTCTGGCTGCAACATGCCCTGTGGCATGCCTCTATGGCGTCCCGTATGCTCTGCTAGTGTCGACACATCCATCCAGGTACTGTGGCTCGCTGCTGCACCAGTTTTTGGGAACATGGGACATGCAAACTAAGCCCGGCTTGAATCGCCCCAGCACGCCTCGCAGCCCTTGGGCTTCTTGGGAAGGCCCAGATTTGCCATGACCCGCAGCCGCACCATCATATTCAAATTCTCAAAGCGCTTCCTGAAGGCTCACAAGCAATTCGGTGCTTGGTTCAGGAAGGTCAGAAGGTGCGAACTGCAGTTTGCTGCTGATGCTGCTCGCATGCATTCTGTAGTGTCCAACTAGTCAAGATGCTGTCTGACAATTGATCACTTCAACCATCACCCTTCTTTCTGCTTGTCGGCTTGCTGGCGGAAACTTGTTTTCGGATCCAGGTGAGGCCAAGATACGCATGCTTTCGGAAAAGGTTCGCTTCATGCGCGTACTCCTTCTCACCTGACTTGGAGCACGGTGGTATGGAGTTGCTTTGGCCATCGAGCTTTGAAAATTCGTTGACACACCAACAAATTGAGGTCAAAGGCACGAGAATCACTCTACCCTGAAGTTTGATCTCAACAGAAGCCCAAAGCAGGCTCTTCTTGGAAAATGTTTGCACGCGGGAGAGTAGGATCCGTCAGCTCGTGCCCGAAAGTCCAAGCGCAAAGGCAGAGAAGCTAGCGTGGGTGGGCCCTGCATGCCATTAAGCCCTCAACCTTGGAGTGACAGCATTGCAGACTTTGGCACCGTTATAGCGGCACTGCCAAGTGGGATCTGTTGCGTCCCCATCCAGAGCGGGTCGGCCCATGCTGTCCAAAACCATCTGACCCTCTCTATCCTGACAAATGGATTGCACTTTGTTGTTTAGCAAAGAAGCAGTCCCTACACATCTATTAGAGCCTCAGCGCTTGCTATGGCCTGCTTGTGGGTGAGTGGCCTGAGGGCATGCTAGCTTCACTCTAGCTTCTATCTAATTTTGGATATTCTTGCAATCTCGAAGCATGAGGCTTGGTTAGAAAGCTGCCAGTCAATAGGCAGTTCGCAGTTACGCTTGGGCCTGTTAGCTCCCCCTTTCCAAACAAGCAGAGCAGGTCCTTCTTCAAGCCCTCAAGCTCGTTCACTTTGGCCTTTGTTGTTTTTCTATGATGCTTGTGCTTTGATCTCTGCACGAAATTGGTACTCCATGTTTCGACCATGCCTACGTTTACGAACATCAAAAAAATCCGGCACCGCAATTGCTATCAGGCGAGCCACCACATAGTTTAGGATCTGCCGACGGTATGGGGGATCGGAGGCTTCACTGAAGCGGATGTCCCAACTTTTCACAGCCTGGCATTCCAGGCTCAATTTTCAGCTTTGTTGGGCTGACTGTTGCTGACAAATGGTCCCAATATAGACACCAGAATACTATAATCCTTATTATGGGGACCCCAGAAACTCTGCAGCCGGCCTCGACCAAGGGTCCTCCAGAAACGTATGAAGAGCCCACTTGCCCTGCTGAAGTGTAGAGGATGAAGTCGATGTCGTTGTTGGTGGTGTAGTGCACCTCTAGGTACATGTAGCAGCAGATCGACAAGAGTGGTTACAACCGCTGATGAAATTGAGACCTGAGTGGACCCTGATCCCTCAAATAAGTTGAATCACGTGCTAGACCAAGGCTGTGTGGGTCCAATGAGTGCAGTAGAAAAGAACAAAACAAAGCAATCGGATTTGCACACCAGACATCATTGGACAAGCAGGCTCGCAACCCCAGTACGCATTCCCTAATCAACTGTTGGCGAACCCGTGGACTTGGACATGACATGGCCCTGAAGGACAAGCTCCTTGCTAGGACCGGTGATTTTGGAGCCGCGAGTGAGTCGGCCATTGATGAATCCACGTTATTCCTGTTTCATGCAACATCCTAATCATGAGGATGGAATCGATTTGGTCGTAGTGACATAGCCATGCTCGCAGGGTGCTTGTATTACAAGCAGCCCCGACCCCCACCCCCCCCCGGGCATTCCCTTGCGGATGTTTGCGGCTTAGTTGCCTCCAGTCCACACCACGTGCGTGTGAGCGATCCAGCCTGCGCGAGGCTTCCCAAACTGCTCTTGTGGGGTTGATCACTTAAACCTGCTTACAGCTCGTTCTGTCAGTGAACTTGTCAGCCTGGTAGTCCACAATCAAGACTGTCAGGTCCACTGTCTTCAGGGTCCGGATGAAGGGGCAGTCCTTCCATGGCACCAAACGCTCAACACTAGCTGCATGAATATCTCGTCATCTGCCACCCAGATCGATTTGGCTAGGACGGTTTTTACCATTGCTTTTACTCCTGGAAACGGTCCTCCTTGCAAGAAAACCTGACAGTTTGAGCATCGGCGGTCCATCAGCTTGGAGCCAAAGTTCTCCCCGAACTGGCAGTTCGCAAAGGTACAGACCCAAATGGGAGTGTAGATGCCTCAGTCAGCTGGGTGCAGAAGCTTCAAACTACAATACACAAGCTCTTGGAGGTAGAGCTTCCCGTGAACGATCTCTCAGGGAAAGAACGGTGGAGATGCACCCGAAAAGAACACCTGCGTCCTAGCCTCCGAGCCTCTTCACGGCCCTGCGCATTCCGAGTGGGAGTTTCTGGAAAAGTTTGGAGCATGGAAGATTTACAATCCTCATTAAAAAGCTTGCAAAAACGGACCTTTAATGACTTTAATGTCGCAAGTACCGAATTTGAGCCCGAACACCTGGAGGGCGGCAAGGCCTTGCTACAACAGGCTGGCGACTGTTTCTTGATGGAGAGAATCTTGCACGTTCTTGCACCACCTAGGGTCCCTAAAGCATTGCATTTCATGGGCTCCAGTTTCCTCCGTCAACAGTGCAACAGGACAACTGCAGCCGCAGTGCTCAGCGCTCGGTCCATGGTCATCTTGTCCACGGCTTGCATGAAGTCCATGAAGCGTCCTACTGGCAAGTCGTGCAACTTTGTGGTTGCTTGGCCTTGTAGAAGAGATGAGAAACAAACCCTTTGCCCGTCCTCCCCACCAGTGGCTCAGCATGATCTTTGCAGGCTGCGGCTCCTCCGCCACAAATTCCACCCAACTGTACCTGGAAAGCAACGTGTAGCGAGGTGTTGTCCTGCATTTCTACTGTGCTCTGGTTGATTGTTTATTGCCTCATTGCCGCAAGCTTCGGACATCTGCGGACTAGATATCAACAGCCTAGATTTGCTTAGCACTACGCTTTGCAGCCGTGCTGCCAACGCCGATCTGGGTCCAAATGCTCACCTTGTGGGTCAACGTGAGGGATGACCTTCTTGATCACTTCGCTGGTGATGTGGTACCTGGATGCTCGAGTGCACTACAGCAGATTGCAGGGCAAGCGTGTAAAACAAAGCATTGGAACGCCTCATCGTGGCAAACCTTGCGAGCCCTTCACAACAAGAAACACTTTGCATTATACCGGGGAAGCTCTCATGCACTGCCGAATTTGTGCCTATGCCTACGTCCTTTTCTTGCTCCCCTTTCTCTTCCGCAATGACGGCACCTAAGCCAAACGTAGCCTGCTGCGCTAAGACGCACTCTACACATATGGTCAAACATCTGGCGGCTCAGCTGCCATTGACACAGTTCCCAACATGCAGCAAAGGACAACTGTGTCGCTCTACCTGGATAGCATAGCATTCCTCATATGGTCCAGTCTATGGGCTAGTAACACACGGCAATGCGAAAGGCTGTTGGATCTCTAAAAAAGTTCCGCCACGCTTGACGCCAGCGGCCTGCGCAACCAATGCGTCACAAATGAGCTCAGCAAAGGGCAAGCTGGCGACCGGCAGTCGCAGCCACGACTATCCGTCAGCCGGTGAAACAGCTGCAAGCGTGTGCAGCTGCACATGCACAGGGCCATCCATCCTCATAACGACGGCGGGCACAACGCCCAAGTACTACAGCTTAAAGCGAGCTGCATTCCGTCACTGATCGCAGCAATGGCAGCTCTTAGAATGGCTCTTCTGCTTTGCAGATGGCCAGGCGCGCTGAATTCCTGCTTCTGAACCGTTGGTGGCTCACACCATGTACCATCTGAGTGCTTTGAAACACACATGCTCTGGATGTTGAATCTAGGAGCTTAGCATCGACAACTAAGGCACATTCTTGGTGACTTTGGCGGCGCTCGCGGCTCAGGACTCTTATTTCTACTGCAGGTGCTTCCCGTGAGCAATGCGGTACGAATTGAGGGCACCGTCACGAATTCCTACGGACCAGTTGTTGCCTGAGTCTTTCTTTCGTCTTGATCGAAGAAGTTGGGCCACAACCGTCTCAGGCAAAAAAGAACTAGCTTCTTGCTCCATCACTCATCAAAGTCTTCTGTCTGGACTCAGGCAACCGGTTTCTCGCTGCAGGGTCGACTGGGCAAAGTTGGAATGTCATAGGCTTGAGAATTCTAAAGGAGCTGCACCTTTGGGTGGAATCAACTTGCCCTGCCAGGCTCACAGGGCACCGGCTCAGCGTAAGCGCGCAGTGGGCAAGTTCTCCAGGGCCGGAACACGGCCCAACTCAGCCAAGAGGCCTTGAGGCCCGCGCGAGACAGATGTGGTTGATATCAAGGTATTGCAGCGCAGATGTAATTAGGTGTTTTGGCGGCATGGTCACTGTATGACACGCGAAAACGTTTAGGTGTTGGAAACGACACCCAACTTGAAGCCTGCGCATGGAATAAAAGCGTAAACAGCCTGACTCTGACATGAGGAGGCCGAGCAGCATTTGCGCAAGTCGACAAGATCCTTGACCTTGTGCTGAGACTCGCTTCAAAACAGCAGTGGCTAAGGAATGAAGCTAGTGACCAGCGCAAGAACTATAAAAACCCAGCACTGCAGCTTTCAGCATGCTTCCAGCTGCAGCTCCAATGCTCTCCAGCTCTCACTCTTGGATAGTCGCTCAATTCAGCACTGACTTTGGTCAGTCCTGGCCTAAACGTACTGAAGCGTACCCGAGCGTTGCGGTGCTGAGGCCACGGCTGTTGCCAAGTTGTTACCTCTGAGGGACAATACGACCTGGCAGACAAAAACGCCAGTGCCAACACTCCATTGCATCAAGGGAAGTGCTGGCCTGTATCAAGGCTGGGAATGTGATGGTTGCACGAGAGCTGGGGAAGATCACGCCAACGAAGTCAAACAGACCCACCTGAGATTCTGAGCAGCTGAGGCTTCTTCATTACTGATTCGTACGGACCTTCAACTGACTGGAGAGCCCGCTGGGAACACGTTCATGCTGCCAGGGAGCGGCATCAACGCCGACATCCTGACAGAAAGGCATTTGAAGTCCCATCCGGCACGCTCGTGCGCAAACAAGGCAGAACATCGTCAAGTCTGCCAGCAGGGTTTTGGAAGAACGCTCTCCTGCAGAATGCGGGCGGCTTCAGGCTGCTGGATGAGCTTGATGAACTCCTCCATTTCAATGCCCTAGACAACCCATTGAGGCGAATCAAGGCCCATGCAACTGTATGTCCCATAATGTCCTATATGCATGCAAGCAATACCTGGCACCTGTATTCCTGTAAAGCCTAGATGGCTTGGTTGCTTAGTGCATCCCAGCAACCCACCGCGTCAGGTGATTGTCTCGAGACCTTAGTCTCAGCGCCCAGCTTTGGGCACTACGCAGCCCTCTGATAATGGCTGGCAATACTCGCAGCATATGCCATAACGTGGCAATGCTGTGCTAATCAGGCAATCACAAACCATGGAGCCCCAGGATGTAGAATAGCTTGCGCATAAGCAAGTCTATGAATGATATCATCTGAACGCGCAACACTCTTCAATGCAAACATGCTAGCGGCTAGCGCACCCGCTAGTATCAGTGAAGGATGGCAAAGCGTTCTCCGACGTTCAAAAGGAAGACAAAAGGCGGAGAAGAAAGGTGAACTCAGCTCCCGGCAGGCCCACCAAGTCCATCACCTCCCCATGCGCCCAAAGGCCAAAGTAAAAGAAGCGAAAGCAATAAGCAAATGGGCCAAAGGTGAGCAGGGCTGTGAAAGAAGCCCCTTGCGCCTCTTCCAGCTTCTCTTGGACTGTGGTCACCATGAGCTGCTCCTGAGAACACACTAATTGCATGGCACATGCTTGTTAATGGCCCGGCAATCGGTCCAATCATCCACAACAGACAGCCTTCTCCACAGATGCTATGACGCTGATGACTTCCACAAGGATACCAACCTGCATCAAAGGAGAGTACATGAAGGACCACTGCTGCAAGTACTGTGAGCTGTGGCCGCTGCCAGCATGTTCATGACGGTGAGCGTGGCCACCAATATAAATCTCGGGCCGCAACACTGCTGATACAGCTCTTCGAGAAATCAGAAGGCAAGAAATGAGTTTCTCAGCCATGCGACGCCATGTAGAGAGCGCTGAAAAGCAGGTTGTCGCGCCCGACATCACGCACGACCTCCCCAACGCTGTCCTTCAGAGCACGAGGGCTTGTCAGGTCAAATCCCCAAGGCTGTGTGCTGTGCAAACCGGCTGTTGAGGCAACTCTGGGGCTTCTCACTTCTGTAACCTCTTGCCCAGCATGCCAAGGCGCGAGGAAGATCCCATTCAAGAGCAGAGTAGTCATCGAGTCTGGCACTGTGGCGAAGTACGCCTGTGACAAGACTCGCGCTCCTCACTCCTCGACCCTCAGATCGCTGGGTTTTTGGTTCTTTATTTTGTGCCTCTGCTCTTGGAGCGCCCTGCGCCAGTTGGGTGAAGACGATGCCAAAAACGTAGAGCCTAGCTTGCAGGGCAGTCAATCCCATATGAGCGGTTGAAAAGATGGGATTTGTTTAATTGAAAGAAGGAAACGTCCGCCCGCCAGCTTTCGCAGACCTTCCACGAGTCCTCCGCGAAGACTGTTGGCAGCTTTTCCGAGGGCTGTGCTTGCGCGGGCTTTTCCGCCGACGTTTTCGTCGAAGGTGCTTCTGCAGCACTTCAGCGAAAGGGATTTCTAGCCTTCCGCGCATTCCGTCCGAAGAAAATAGAGCTTCCACAAGAGCTTCCGCAAGCGAGGTACTTTCGCGAAAGCTTCCACAGGCACAGTGGGAACAACTTTTCGGAAGTTGTTGCCGGCCGATATCCGAAGGTATTTCCCTACCTAAGTAACTTGCCTCTAGGGCCCATCTGTTCAAATGCCCAAACGATTTCAAATCTGAGGGTCACACACCAAGACCAAAAGCGTCACTGAAAAGAAGACGGCTCGCATTGCCACAACCTTACAAGGCCAACAAGTGCGCTAGAACCATCTGGGCAAGCTCACTAACCTGAGAAAATCACATTTGCTCACAAACCTTAACCGACCCTTGAAGCATGCACCCATTGGTATTGCTCTGAGACCGGCACCATGGCCTTGACAAGGATTAGAAGCTCTGGCACCATGTGGAGCACCCTGGCACCAGGCAAACTGTTGCAACAAAAACGACCATTGATGTCCTGTACTTGAACGCTGCGAACGAATCTCCTGTGCCTGGCAATTCGTGCTATCCGAACGATCCGCATCAGTCGAACGATTCGGATCCTCAGCGTGTGTATGTATGCATGCGCAGCTAAGTCTTCAGAATCTTAAGACACTTCTCCGAAGATAATCATGATGCCCGGGCCTACGTACCCTTATGATTCGCCAAGCTGCATGCTGCTGCTCTCTGGCCTGCAAAAGATGCCGCATCTACAGAGAAAACAAATGTCCGGTCGCTGCTGTAAACACCAAATACGCGTGCCCAGAATGATGACTGCATGGCCGCTGCTGCTTACCAAACCCGAAGTATCCCGAAGTGCAGACAAGTACTGGCAGGGGGCCCTTTGCGTGGCAATTTGAATGCTTGCATTGGACCCATGCGCCTTCCCTGGTGAAGGTCTGCCTTGGCCAGGTCGGTGTTGATATTTGTCAGCCACAAGCGGTCACTAGCGTGCCCGTTGATCAAACTCAACGGACAATCTGCTAGCTTTTCCTGCAACCCTTTCCGCACTCGGTAGCCACAAGCATGAGCTCTCACTGGTGACGCATTTACTCAGCTGGAAGCACACAAACCTCAGGCTCCAGCTGCCCACAAGATGAACTGCATCAGCCATGTCCTACCAAGCTCACCGGAAGAAGAATGCACAACAAGACGCTGCCACTTGCACACTTGCGGCGGATGCAAATGCACAAGCCAGGTAAGCTTCGTACTCAGTGACCGTGGCTGCCATCAAGAAGCCGTCAAACACCAGCCAAAAGTCTTTGATGCAATCACCTTGGATCCATGCTGAAACCCAGGCAAAACCGTACCATTGAAGTCAATCATAGCACGAAGGATAGCTCTCATAGCGTGTGCTCTAGCAACCTTCTTGCACCGACGAGAAGAACATCTGTCCAGGCAAGCATGAAACTGAGCCTGCGTTGAGTGTGGACAACGCGAAGCATGCTACGTAGATTCCCCAAGTCTGGCGGAGCTCCAGCCTGCAAGAAATCAACCGTCTGAATCAAGTAAAGCCAGTGATTCCGGGGGGGAACGAAGCAAAAGCCGCGGGGCGGGTTCTTCGAAACGCGGCGAATCGGAGCAACCACCTCAGCTGATATCAGGTCCTGCCATATAGGGGGCAAGGGTTGTGCAGTTCTGAGACCTTGCCTCAAATTCAAGTTGTGACTTTCTTTACATGTGGGGTCACTCTTTTAGACACTCCGTACTAGAGCTCAGTTCTCTTGCGAACATCCCATAAACAAAGCAAATGCTTCTTTGACAGAGGCACTCGCAGAAAAAGAAGGCACAAAAGAAATGCTCCATCACCACAAAAACCTAAGCCAGGCAAGTTGTTCGTTGGCACGCACTGTCCGCTATGTAGACAAGTTAATCGCCAGCATGAATTAGGCAACAAAAAAGCGCAATGCAGCAACCCTGCATCCAACCGTGTGTGTGTGTGTGTCATAGTGCTCTTTACCAAAGCCATGCATCACACAAGTGTGCGCAAACAACCACCGAGCAGGTCACATGTACAAGCATGGCCTAGAAGCAGTCGCGGTTGGGACGTCTGGTACGTTGAAGTCTGTGTCGATTGCCAGCCAAACCTGACTGAAGCTTCGCATGCTTTCAAGAGAAGCTGCCTATGGAATGCATTTGAAAGGGTAACTTTCTCGAAGGCACTGCATTGACCATGATGAGGCTGAGGGTCATATTCTCGAAATACTTGCTTCGAGCCAGTTTCTGACACCAGCCACTCGTCTTGTAGAACTCTGCAACCTTGCTGGCCAACAAACAGTATACTTGGTTGTGTGAGAATTGCACTATCCAAAGATCTGCCATACTTTACCAAAATAAGCTTTGCTGATGCTGTTCTGCACATTTTTAGCGATCGACAGCATGAAGCGAAAGATTGTTAAAGTTGTTTGCCGAACTTGCCAGCGCTGAGTCCGAGCTGCATCATACTCAGGCTCACCAATAGCCGCCCGGACCTTGGCCTTCAGGTCCTCCTGGCGGCTCCATCAGGGTCATGCAAACATCGACGCAGCCAGTCGCGTTGAGTAATCTGCTGGCTGCGAGCATTTAGAAACAAGAAGCATCACTTGGGTGCCTTCTGCTGACGGTGAGTGCATGGAGCTAGTGTTTTGCTGCTTCAGATGTTTCCAGATTTGAGTGATCACAGCTGATGTTTCAAGCTTAGAACCAACAGGCACAGCTCCGAGTGAACATCCAAAATGTCTGCTCCTCATCGACAAAGAGGTTGGCAGTCTTCTGTCTGGCCAAGATCCTTACGCAAAAGTGTCTCTTGACCCAACGAAGGGAAGCCTCCGTGAACACACCATAGCGTTCTATAAATCACCACGCTTGCCATCTTACATCCGTGGTGTTCTTGCTGGAGAGTCCAAGTTATCGGAGACCAGAGCAGATTATGCGCAAACAAACTGTTTTTGACCATTAGGTTATATGCAAGACCTATCCCACCAGAAATAATCAATCAAGCTTATATCATAGAAAAGAAGGTATCCAAGATGTAGAAATGGAAGCCAAACCGCCATTAGTATCATTAGTGGAATGAAACTTAACCAAAAACAGGGGCTTTCCAGGACTCGCATGTAAAAGCCGAAATGTCAAATCCTTGGATTCGGGGCTTCAATCTCGTCAACCCTGGAAAACTATGCCAAGCGGCTGGTTCTTTGCGCGCGTTACCTGGCAACTTCGCAACTTCGGGAAGCAGAAAGTTCCCAAACATGAGCAAGCTAGTCCAAGAAGAGGTGAAGAACTCAGACGTGCTGCTTGAGACTGTTGCTGGAATGAGGATCAACAACAGACATGACTTGCCCACGCAGTCAAAATTCTGGAACAAAAATCGGCCAGCTTTGGGATTTCCCTGGAATCTTCTGCGAACAAGCAGCCCGGGCCATGCCGGCACTTAGGCGGGCTCCTCAGACAAATTGGCCAGCAAGCTTGCATCATTCAAACCCATGCACATGATACGACTGCTTATCTAGAGTGATGACCGGTCCATGCAGCTTTTGTTACATCTTTCCAGGGCAGAATCTCCCAAAAGAAACCATTGCTTGACAAGGCATACCACGCATTCTGCCCCCCCCCTTCAGCGGAGTCTGAGTGGCGAGCTGGGCGAAATCTTCTCTGCAGCCGGCAGCGAGAAGCGTCCGGCAGGCACGCGGCTGACTTCCTGCCGGCTTTGCACATGTTACAGCGCGCTTCAGCTGAGACGACCACCCCAATCCCCTTCAGGTACACAATAACCGGGGGATTGAGATGACCTTGTGACCTTGTGTTGCTTCTTAAGAAGCACGCCCAAGCATAATCCAGTCACAGCCAAAGCGAGTAGCTTTGCAATACTTTCGTCAAGTGCCCGCCGCTGCCGCATGAGCAACTTTGGGCCGTGCGCCCGGGACTGTGCATGCTAGAATGGAAAGGACACTCTCACCAAAGTGCAGGCCTCTTCCTTTTCACGGATTAAAGTCGACCGGCTTCGCTTCTTTGGATCTGGCCCCTTGGCAGGCGCACTGCCATGCTAGCGGCTTCAGGAAGAGATGCTGCCCGTAAGTACTTACAAATTGCTCCCTGGTGCAAAGCTCCTGCACAAAACTCGGAATGTGGAGTCCGACTCGGCATGGCTGTGGCACAACGCTTGGGGCCTTGTTAATGACTGGTCCTGACTACCGACCACTCCAAGTCGCAGCCATACACAGCCATGGTGCCAAGTCCGCATGAGGCGCTTGGTGAGCTGCAGTGGGAGTTGCATCGCAGCTAGACCTTGAGAGGGAAGGGATGACAGCATGCTGTTGACTGCACCAAAACCAACTTGCAGAAATCTTGCTTGACGCTACTGCAGCTTGCGACCAACAGGACTAGAATGTCTCGAGCTCTGAGGCACGAGCGCAGCACCATCCTTGTCGGGGCTAGAATCTTCATCAGGAACGGCTCCAAGCAAAGTTGGCGGCATGATGTGCCTGGGGAGCTGCTCAAATTTGAAAAGTCAGGCAAAGTCTGCGCTTCCAGCTTCTTCTGTGTGGTTTGCAGCAGCCTGATGCTGCGCTCGTTCCAGCTGCGGGAGCTTTGCGTATCTCCATGCGTACTTTGGGAGCTCCGGAATACGCAGGCTAAGTAGTGCTCAGGATAATTAAGCCTAGCTGTAGAAAACAAAGCCAAGCAAGGGCACAGCACAGCGTTTGCTTCAACATGTACATATTAATACATATTACGCAGATATGAATATGTACAGATCGGGTCTCGATACATGCTTCCGCACACAATTCACCACGACTATGTTGCCGAAGCATGCCAAAGCACATGGTGCCAGTAGGGGAGGGCTGTCGCGGATGCACTGCCTTCACCAGATGGACTCGGAACTCCAACGCAACAAACAAGGTAGTGCAAGCAATAGCCAACGAAAGCATGGAGAGAAGCATTTCCACATATGATAATACTATGATACTATAATACTACAATACTGCATTTTGCCTCCTGCTTTGTAGTATAATAGTGTAGTGGTTCCATGTTCTTTTCCCTCATACCTATGTAACAAGCCATGGCCGGGTAGACCTCCTCACAAGCTACGAGTACTGCGCGTGCCATCGCGTGGCCAACCCTGGCCTGGCCAACTGGAAGGCGCTGGGCCTTGAGATTGGAGAGCTCCTCGTGTGCTCCTTGCCAATAAACACGAGTACGACCAAGGCTCTAATTCAAAGACTCAGGCTCCCACGGCGGGGCGTATACAAGTGATAGTAACACGTTGACAGCTTCGCGCGTCTGCTGCATGCAGTCGGATCTTGAAATTGAAGATGAATGGAGTCTTCTGCATTCACTGAGGGCCCCGCGCGAGATCATGTCACAGTGCTTGGTTAAAACCTGCCATGGCCATTTACCAGCAGCAAGACAAGTATGATGCCACCATGTGGGACATCATCGACTTGGCTGACTCCAAACTGGAAACGAAGATGCGCAAGGACTACAGTTACATAAGCACAGCGCTGAGCGAACATGTGGCTTGAATAAGCTTCGCTCTGCAAGCATCGCAACTTCAAGGGACCGAACGGCAACACCTGGGCCAAAGCAGCTGCATGTTTCCCTGTAGCGCATTACTGTAGCCGCCAGCTATATTAAGCTCTGTAGTCCCCTGAGATGGCGGAGCCATCGCAGCTTGCAACCCAAAGATGTCACCTTCTGCAAGTCTAATGTCCAACGAGGAACTAACCCCTAACTACTGACACAAGCAACACTTTAATCCCCGCTCCGAAAGTCTTTGAACAGACCTGCCTGAAGCGCCAAGTCATGGCTGGCCTTTGCATTGATGAGTCTTGCTGCTTGGCCAGACAGGGTTTTGACACTTCGGCATCTCAAATCAGATCTTATGCAGGACTTATCTAGTCATTCATCACGTAGCTGAAAGACCATGTCTCACTTGAGCGAAAGCATATTGGCCCTGCACATGTGTAGTCTTTTCGGTGTGACCCAACTATTATCACAATATCCAGGTCCAGGCCTGCAAGTTGTGCATGGCTGTGCTAAGCGATGCAGACAAACTCCGCTGATCATCGCGCAGTTCCTGAGCTTCAAGCGTCGCAGGCGCCACACAGAAACAGAAATGAGAACATACGTCATGTAAAGCATGTGCTTCAGCTCATGGAAGACCACTCCTGAGCTGGTCTTGCCATGAATCACCAAGCCCCAATTCTCCTCCTCAGCCCAAACATCGAAGCCGTGGCAGCGTCAAGGCTTTAAGCGGCCTTTACACCAGCAGTAATTATCCCACTTGCCGAGCTGGAACGAACACCTTATTACTACACTCTACTCTACGACACGTCTCTAGTCTTCCAGCTGAACTCCAACCGTGGCCAAGATTCCGTCACTGCGCTGGCCACATCACTTCCTGAAGGCTAGCGACGTCAGTGCGTCCGCCACAGGATGACTCATCATGACAAGCTGCATCTAGCATCAAGAACCCAGCGCACCACAGCCATCCATCATCATCATCATCATCATAATCATCATCACCCTCAACATGATCCCCATCTCTATGAACCTGGAGTTAGTGCAATCCACAACCATAATGTTGATTCTCACCAAGACTCTCGCGGAGTTACTTCGTCCATCCTGCCAGTGAGTCCAAAGCCGCTCAAAGATGCAAGAGTCTGCATGGAAAGAAGAAGCCTAACAAAGAAGCTGGCTTCAAGTGTGAAGGAATAACTTCTAGCTTGTCGCTGGACTCCTACATGCCCTGGAACCAACTGAATCCCCCGCCTGGTCATCGATGGGCGTTGCAGATAAAGACAACCGTACTCGCTGGATCCTTGAAATGGCCAGTCAATAGGGTTGATTAAGCGGCCGCCTGGGAGCAGTGCAAGCATTTTATTCGCAGCCGCCGTACTTGCTGGTGTCACATGAATCTGATTTGTCGAAACATGTTCCCCTGTACGCGTTCTCATGTACAGACATATAGACATACTCAGCAAGCACATCTTCAACCACCACTCAACCACCAGCATTTCAAACCAGACCAAGTCACGGCCGGCCACCTTCCATCTTCATTGAGAAAAAGTGAAAGGGAAACAAGCTTCGGTCCCTTGAGCCAGCGGCAACAATCCAAGCGAGCCTGTCAACCCTTCGCTCAATTCGCTCATGTTTCGTCTTGAGCAGACAGATTATGGGATCTCCCAAGCTGAGTGATGCTTTCCAGGCAGCCACGTTACATGTTCAGGTTCGTCCAAGGGATCAGCTTCCCATAGCTGCCACTCCCCTTGGAAAACTCGCTGGTGTGCCTCAGCTGCACCCATGAGCTCGAGCACTCATGAGCAGAGCGATCAGTCTTGTGGAGCAACACTCTCGGAGGATCTGCTGATTGAGGCGTAGCATGAGTCTGCCAAAGAAACATGCAAGATGGGGTGAGGCTCAACAAAGTAGCTACCTCAGCCTCGCGAGCCCTGCAGCCACCTGTTGCCCCAGAAGAACTCTGGCACAAGTGCTATCAGAAACAAATCTGAAATGGTGTCAGGACATCGGCTGCCTGGCCTCCCCAATCATGTTTGAGAAGAGGCCACGAAAGCTAGAGGCAGCAGTGGAAGGCGGAGGGAGCCATGCCGTTACAGGGCTGAAGTGAGCAACAGCTGTCGAATGGAATGCAACTCCAAGCCTTGCTTAAGGGCAAACTTTTGTGGAGGGCCTCCCCTGTAATCATTTCTTCGCATTTTTTTTGGGGAAAGTGGTTTTTGATGTTATCACTCTTGAGGGGGAGAGGGGCCCTCCTGCACACCTTCACAA